GCAGTTTAAAGTACAGAGAAACAAGCAAAGGCTACATAAAGCACAGTGAAAAGAGTATCCTACAGGTTGAGTATCCCTTATTCGAAATGCCTGGGACCAGAAGTGTTTTGGATTTCAGCTATGTTTGGATTTTGGAATATTTGTACAACACACACAATGGTTGAGCATCCCTAATCTAAAGAAACAAAATCTGAAATGCTCCAGTGAGTATTTCTTTTGAATGTCATACCAGAGCTCAAAAAAGTTCAGGTTTTAAAGCATTTCAGATTTGGAATTTCTATATTAGGGATGCACAACCTGTAAACTCTAGATTTGAATCCTGGCTTCAGCAATAACTAGCTGAACAACCTAGGAAAGCTACTTAATAACCCAGAGCCTCTCCTTCCTCATCTAAAAAATAAGAAAAAAATATTTCTCAGGGTTAATATGAGACTCAAATAAACTGATCTATATGAAATATTTTATTAACCACAAAAGTGCTGTGCAAATGCTGATTATTATAACATAAGGAACAAGGGGTGGAGAGAAACTCTTGTTCTGGATGCTAGATATAAAGAGAAATCTATGTCCTAAACAAAGTATCTTATCCTGAGTTAAGGCCCACCCATTATGAGGCTGTGACATTCCTTCAAGGTTGCAGAACACAGCACTGAATATTCTGGCTTTCATGTAAGAAACTGAAAGTAAATTCACAAGTTTGCTCCTCATCATTCAACAATTAATAAGCTTCTACTATATGCCAAGTAAGTAGAGAACAAAACAGACACGATTCCTGCCAGCTCTCTGACTTTACATCCTGCTGCTGTCTGTCACCAAAGCCAGCCTTTAAGATCTCTCTTATCAGAGTACCAGAGAGCAGCAGTCCTCAACCTTTTTGGCACCAGGGACCAGTTTCATGGAAGACAATTTTTCCACAGAACAGGGAGGAGGGAGAGTGATGGTTTGGGGAATGACTCAAGCGTGTTACATTTATTGTGCAGTCAAACCTCCCTGCTAATGACAATCTGTATTTGCAGCCACTCCCCAGCGCTAGCATCACCACCTCAGCTCCACCTCACATCATAAGGCATTAGATTCTCATAAGAAGCGTGCAACCTAGATCCCTTGCATGCAGTTTACAGTAGGGTTCAGGATCCAGTGAGAATCTAATGCCGCTGCTGATCTCACAGGAGGCAGAGCTCAGACAGTGATGCGAGGGATGGAGAGTGGCTGTAAATACAGATGAAGCTTCATTCACTGGCCACCATTCACCTCCTGCTGTGCGGGCAGTTCCTAACAAGCCATGGACTGGTGCTGGTCCACGGCCCAGGGGTTGGGGACTCCAGCCGTAGAGTATGGACTCTAGAGTCAGAGATGAGATTCTAAGACTTGCCCTGACACTAGGTGATCGTGGGCATGTCATAAATGAGTCTCAGTTTTCCCATCTGTAAAATGGAGATAGTAATACCAATCTCATAGATTATATATGTGAGAAAACACGGCACAACACTTGGCATACAGCAGGTACTTGACATTGTCGGTTTCCTTTCTGTTCTTCTTTCCTTTACTGGGAAAGTCAATATAGTTTAAAAATAAAACAAAACAAATACAGAGATGTACAGAATAGGCCTATATAAACATATCTCCAATTCTTACAGATTCCTGGCATTATTGAGTGTTATATTTGTAATACCAACTATATACCGCCACATCTAGGAAACAAATTTGAACTGAATGTGCTCTGAAATCAATGCACAAAACAACCACATAGTGAATGAGTATGTACATTCTGGGTATGCACAGCTCACCTACTTTTCGTATTGCTATATAGGCAATGAGTCTCCTGAAGGTATAAAATCTTTGCCTATAACTCTAAAAATAAAGCCAACAGCTAGAGGTGACGAGAGAAATGAAGAGTAAGTGAAAAATAAAAAAAGAAATGGTCCCTAGCTAGAAAATAAAAATTTTGAATTAAAGAGTAAATGAGCAAAACCAGGTGTGGCTCAGATCTACAATAAGAAAAGATTTATCGCGTACATTTCTTACAGAAATCAAAAACTGTTTATCAAACTCTTCTCGTGAGAGCCTAAGCCAGTGTAGAAAATGCATTTTGTTAAGAAAATGATATGTAATAGTGATATTAAGAATTTTTTAGATTTTTAACCTATTCTACATTTGAAAACCTAGAATAAATGCCACAGGTCACATCCCCTCATTTCATGAATGTCAAGCAATGGACATATTTTCATGCTCAAAAATGGCTACTCAAAATATACTCAAATATCATTGTTCCATCCAAGTTAGAGCCTCAGCAGCTTCAAAAAGACAGGCTTCCCTATTATCACACATAATTCCATCTTCCGGTATAATAAAAGCCTCAACTCAGTCAGACAAGTAGTTTTCATTCACTCATTGAACCAACGTTTCGTGAGCGTATCCTGGGGATCAGACAATGCAGTGAGCTCTGGGGAATAGCAGGCAGGAAGGACAATGTGTAGCCTGCTGCTGATAAAATGAACGTGGATAATAGATAGTGAGCATGCTTATGATTTTCTGATCCTTCCAAACATATTCCTTCTTGAAATAGCTTCAGATTTTTGGTTCAAGTATCCTGTTTATCAAGAAATCATCCTCACTTGCAGCAGAATAATGTTCTCATTATGACTAAATCAGTGTGGTTGACTTCAATCTAATTTCACTGTCACAAATGACACCTGACTAGATAAAATCATGGACCGTAGATTATCAACAAGAAAGTACATGATATAGCACATCTCATATTTTCCTCAAAATATAATTTATTAAAAAAAATAAAAATTAAAATTAAAAAAAAAAAGTACAAAAGCAGAGCCTATTGAGAAACATATTTGGATAGTTACCTTTAGATTGAAACACCAGAAGATATCACCTTGTTTTGAACTGTGATTACAGTTATGATTTTAAGTGACACATCAAAAACCTCTTTGTTTGTTCATAGATTATATATGTGAGAAAACACAGTACAACACTTGGCATATAGCAGATACTTGACGCTGTCAGTTTCCTTTCTGTAATTCTTTACTTTGATGTGAACAAACTTAACTCACTAGACCTTATTCTTTTTTTTATTTTTTTATTTTTTGAGACAGAGTCTTGCTTTGTTGCCCAGGCTAGAGTGAGTGCCGTGGCGTCAGCCTAGCTCACAGCAACCTCAAACTCCTGGGCTCAAGCAATCCTGCTGCCTCAGCCTCCCGAGTAGCTGGGACTACAGGCATGCGCCACTGGCTAATTTTTTCTATATGTATTAGTTGGCCAATTAATTTCTTTGTATTTATAATAGAGACGGGTCTCGCTCTTGCTCAGGCTGGTTTCGAATCCTGACCTCGAGTGATCCACCCACCTCGCCTTCCAGAGTGCTAGGATTACAGGCGTGAGCCACCGCGCCCAGCCACTAGACCTTATTCTTTATAAACTAAAACTTCATTGTAAACATGATAACAATATATGAATAACAGTGTCTTATCTAGATGAAAAGCTATTCTTTAATCTGCCTTTTAATGCACAAACTCTACACTTCCTCAATTGCAGTATAGCCAGCCCTCTGTATTTGTAGGTTCCACATCCGTGGATTTAACCAAACATGGTCAAAAATATTTTAAAAATAAAAATTCTGTCTATTGAATATATACAGACTTTTTTCCTTGTCATTATTCCCTAAACAATACAGTAAAACAACTATTTACTTAGCAATTACATTGTATTAAGTATTGTAAGTAATCTAGAGGTGATTTTAAATATGCAAGAAGATAAATTAATGCAAAGGTTATATGCAAATACTATGCAATTTTATATCAGGACTGCTGCATCTGCAAATTTTGGTATCCACAGGGATTGTGGAACCAATTCTCCATGGATACTGAGGGATGAATGTAGTTTTTTCAATGTGCTTCCTAAGCAGTCTTCGGTGATTGTGACTAGAGGTATTTGAGGTATATGATCCAACATAGAGCAGCCACCGTAGCTCATGTGCGGTGACAAATATGTCATCTCTTAGCAGAATGGTGTATTATTTTTCTCTTTTACACTAAACCTTTTATGATCGTTAAGGATATACTTATTATTTGACTTCAATTTGATATACCAAGGGACAACTGCAGTAGCTTTCTTCATGTAGGTGCATAATTTCTAGGATGGAGTAAAAATAAGGATTATAAGCAATCTGACATACTCCCAGAACCCAGGAATGTAGACTACGTTCATTCTCCTTATCTACTCCTTTACTCCAGTCCTTCCTCCCCTAATCCTGAGGAAGGGAAACTCCGGTCCTCACAGAGCAGTGTCAATGTGAGTATTTACAACAATGCACTACAGCAGGAAGAATGTTCTACTTCCTAGCACAGCAGGAAAAAAGTGGTTCATAGAAAAAGAAATGATAGCAACTAAAAACAGATACTTTGGAGTCAGTCAGAAGTGGCTTCAAATCCTGGGTCTAGCACTATTGGTCAAGTTTTTAATCTATTTGAGCCTTAGTTTCCTCAACAGTAAGACATCAATAAATAATAAACTTTTTTTCCTACTTTGAGTAAAATTTGGAGTCAGAAGGCATAGGCTGAAATTCCAGTTATGTCCCCTAATTATATGACATCAGAGAACTAATATAACTAACCTCTGTGAGCTCCAGTTTCTTCATGTATAAAAGATGGATGAAAATATCTGCTTTATCTTTCCCATACTTAGGGCAATCCAAGCAAAGAAAATGGTTCCTATAAAAATCTTTCTAATCTGTAAAGAGTTATATAACTGCAAAGTAGTTTTACTGATAAAATAATCTTATTGGAAACCAAAATCTAATGGGAGAAAAAGACTATAATGATGGCATAAATTTCTAGAGGAATAAGAAAGAATGGTGGTGTTCATTAATTTTCCATCTATTTATTACTTTTCTGCAACGACCTAAAAAACAGCATTAGATCATGAGAAAGAAAGATGATGATAACCACTGCAAATTAAGCGAAAAGAAAGTCAGAAGCAATATTACTTGCCATATATAACTCCTTATTGATGCCAAGATACTTTCCATTCCCACATCCAATATCAGCCACTATTGAACCACTTGGCAAAGCCTCCAGAAACTCCACGATGAGCGGCCATGGGCTGTGTCTCGTGCTGCTGAAGTGCCTGGCAATCTCTTCATAAACTTGATGGACGTGCTCTTGCTCCAGCTGTGAGGCCTCTTTATCATTCTCTGGAAATGAGGGAGGAGACTCTTTCCTCTGGCTGTCACAGACCAAAGGGTAACCTAAATGAAAAAATGAAGCAATATAAAACTTTCCTTTTTATCCAAATGACTCAGAAGGTAACAAGTTTTCCTAAAAGAAAAAGGGAATCAAAGCAAATTTGGTGACTGGGGGTAGATAGTCTCTAATTTGTCAGTTTAAAAAAAAAAGCTCTTTCCCTAATAAATCCAATTATATGTGTGAGGGGATCTAACATAAAAAGAAGGGGAGATAATGCATTTACAACAAAACACACTAAAATGACTATAATTCTGCATCTGGCATAAGATGGTGCCTATTTCATCTTGGGGTTAAAGAGTCCTCTTATTCAAGGAGGCATCTTGATAGATCTGGCCCAATTAGAAAAACATTTAGCTAAATTAACAAGATTTAGGATGTTTCCCTTGGCAGGTGAAGGGGATAGGAGTGCTGGGGACCCTAGGACTCCCAAAAGAAGAATAAGACCTGGAAGCAAAGTGTCATTTGGCAATATTCACAGATATTTACTGAACGCTTTTTGAAGCAGTTTGTATGGATTGTCTCAATCCTCACAGAAATACTATTGGATATGGACTATTACATCCATTTTACAGATGAGGAAGCACAAAGAAGTTAAATAATATTCCTAACGTGTCAGATAGTAAATCATACAGCCAATATTTGAATCCATGTGGTGTGAACTCCAGAGCCCACATTCTCAATGACTACAGTATGTTACCCTCTTCAGTAGAATGAGCAAACCCCAAGATGAACACCACCAAGCAGAGGCAATGGCAGATGAAATCTGGGATATAAATGTCTCATGTTAATGTTCAAGTTGTTCCCTGTTCTCTGTAATAATGTCTAATACGAATTTTAAATCCTTGCCTGTTCTCTGCTATGCTATAATCTCCCTTTGTCTTCTGCCAAAGTCTGTGACGTACAACATCTTTTTATGGGTAGTGTTCTAGAGAATAAAGGAAGAAGGAGTAATACTACCAGAGAAACTACAGGCAAGACTAAGGCAATAATTAGAAATCACATGACAGCAAACAATTTGCCTGCAACATTGATGGCTTCAGGAATGAACGTAAAACAAACCTCTTTTCCTAAATATAACTAGAGTATGCCAAACTTTGAGAAAGCCTAAAATGGGGATGGGAGTATCTAGTGCCTATTAAGGGATAATGGGAAAATCTAAACATTTTGAATTGATATTTAAGAAAAGGGTAGCTCCAAAAAGCTTGAGGACTCTAAGGCACACATGTGGAAAACAGATAGGTTGCATTATGTTGATTAAATTAGAATTATGATTATACTGTGATATATTACATTATAATTTATCCTATTACTCATCTTAGTAAAAGTTTATTCTCTTGGAAATTATGAACTTCTAAGTTACCTAAAGAAATAAGCAACCTTATCATCACTTAAAAATCTACAAATTTTGACCAAAAGTATGCAAAGGATGACCTTGAACTTAAAAAAAAAAAACCTCACTAATCATCAGGGAAATGCAAATTAAAACCACAAGATATCATCTCATACCCATCAAATGGCTGTTCTCAAAGAGATAAAAAATACCAAATGTTGGTGAGGATGTAGAGAAAAGGGAACCCTTGCACACTGTTGTTGGGACTAGAAATTAGTGCAGCCATTATAGAAAACAGCATGCAGGTTCCTCAAAAAATTAAAAATAGAACTACTATCTTAAGATCTAGTAATCCCACTACTGGGTATGCATCCAAAGGAAATGAAATCAGTATGTCAAAGAGATATCTGCACTCCCATGTTCACTGCAGCATTATTCATAATAGCCAAGATATGGAATCAACCTAACTGTCTATCAATGGCTGAATGGTATATATATATATATATATATATATATATATATATATATATATATATATATATATACATACACAATAGAATACTATTCAGCCATAAAAAATAAAGAAATCCTATCATTTGCAACAACATAGAAAAATCCAGAAGACATTTATTAAGTGAAATAAACCAGGCACAAAAAGACAAAAATACCATATGATTTCACTTATATGTGGAATCTAAAAACATTAAACTCACAGAAGCAGAGAGTAGAATGGTGGTTACTGAGGGCTGGTTGGGCTGGGGAGGGAGATGGGGAAATGTTGGTCAAAGGAGAAAGAATTTCAGTTAAATAGGAGGAATAAGTTCCAGAGATCTATTTTACAACATGGTGACTATAGTTAATAACAAGGTATTGTATTCTTTTTTTTTTAAATATTTTAAACATTTTAATTTCTTTTTTTTTCTTTGATCATGCAAAGGAATCTTTGTAATCTAGGTATTGTGTTCTTGAAAATCACTAAGAGAATGGACTTTAAGTCTATGAGACATCACAAAAAGTTATAAGTATGTGAGGTAATATATATGTTAATTAGCTCAATTTAGCCATTCCACATTGTAAATATATTTTAGGATATCATATAATACCATATATACATAATAAATATATAGAATTTTTATTTGTAAACTTTTTAAAAAAGTATAAACTGAATACCCAATGAGTGCTTCTTACATTTAATAAATGCCCATAAAAACATCTGCATAAGAAAACTAGCTTATCTTTCCAACTAGACTTTAAATTCCTCGAGAATAGGAGCCATGTTTTATTTTTCTATACCTTATAAAACTACCAGTAGTGTTAGATACTCATCAAATACTAAACACTTTTTTAATTAATAAAAAAATTCAACATTTTAAGGCTTCATGGGCACATTTACCAAAATAACAAAAAACTTGTTTTAAGGTTCACTAACATCAAGAGATCAAACATAGAGACTTCAAGTTTTCTAAGAGGATAACATCTTATAGATATAATAAGGGTTTTTAATTCAAAATGTTTTTAAGATTATAACTAAATCCAAAGGCTATTGGTAGACATCACTCATAATTAAAACCCCTAGGATATAAAAAGGATCTTATTATCACTATCATTACAAAATATTATTTACAAAATGAAAGAGGTATCTGTTAATTGAGTTCAAGAAATCTAGGGCATGATGTACTTGTATAGACAATTCAAAATAGCATCCTCTTGACAAGTTTTTGAGCAGCTCTTTTATTCCCTTCCAGGTTTTCAAATTGACTAAAACATAAACCATGGCTTATCCCCCTAAAGTTCTCTACTACAGAACAAATGTTTCATCTCCAACTTTCCTGTTGGGTTAATAAGAATTTAGAATAAGAATAAGAATTTGACAAGCTGTTCCCAACAAAATCTATTTTTGTACAAGTGATATCTTATTGTATTACAGTTGTAGCACTCTTAATTGTTACTTCAATATGGAAAATATTTATTTGGAACCCAAATATGCTCAAGTACTAAGTTTAAGAAAAATAAAGATAAGATGCAGTCCCTGCCTTCAAAGAATAGAAAATATAATGAGGGTGGTTAAGAAAAGTATATGAAAGTACAATACAAGGCAAAATATGAGAAATGCCATTAGCGAAATTAAGAAAAAGTTCTCCCAGGGGCTGACGGGACTATATTTACTCCATTTTACAGTAGAAACAAAATTATATACTTACTACAGTTACAAGGTGTTTGCCTCACTTTCCTAAATGTAAATGATGTCCGTATTCCCCTCTTGTTTAAAGTTAAATCTCCAAGATTGCTGGTGATAATTCCACTTTTGTGAGCCTCAGATGCTTGAACAGTATCAAATTTTCTGGGTGTGATTCTAAAAACAATAGTCAAAATAATTTACTTAATACTTTATTAATAAAAATATTTCAAGTCTTTAAAAGATATTAAGAGACTATAGCAAATCTAGAAGAATTTATAACAAATAGCTATTAGAGTCTATGAATTGTTAGGCATGTGGAAAAATAAAGAGAAGTATTTAAGGAAATTATCTTCAGGATAATAATATTGAAAGAACATACAGCTAATAAATTATTCCAGGGGAAAATGAAATAACAACAAATATTTAATTAATACCAATTCCCAGGAAAAAAAAAAGCAGATGGGGCCAAGAGGAAACAAATAGATGATAAATTTAAATTTAATATCAGTAATTATGTTAACATAAAAGTACTAAAAACCCCAATTAAATAACAAAGATTGCTGGACTGGATTTAAAAAATTAAATTCCACTACATGGTGATTATAAGAGACATACCTTAAATATAAGCACAGAGAATGGTTGAAATTATAGAAAAAATAAACATATATACAATACCAAAACAAGTATTTTGCATATACCAAGCAAAACCAAAAGAAAAGTGATACAGCTATATTAATCAGACAGTAAGTAGACTTTAAGGTACTAAGCATTACTAAAGATGAAAAGGGATATTCCATAATGATAATAGTAAATCCAATAAAGAGATAAAAATCCTATATATTTTTATGCACCTAAGTAATAACATGATCTTAAAATATATAAAACAGAAAGTGAAAAAATCTAATAGGGAAATAGACAAATACACAATTATCACTGGAGTTTTTAATACATCTTTCTCAGTAACTGAAATCTGGTTAAGAGTCTAGAATATCAACAACAGGAAAGAATAGATAATAAAACAAAACAGTGTATGTATGGTTAACTCTTAAATTGTGTAATATTGATAACAAGTAAAATAAAGACTGAAAAATATAAAGAGAGAACTCCAAGCTACTATGGATTATAAGACAGTTTGAAGAGGATTCTTGTAGTAAGCACAAATTTTGGAATAGAAAAAGGAATCATTTAGTAGGAAAATAATAGCCTTTTGAAAGTTCAATTTATACAAGTCACATACAGTGAAATGCTCAGATCTTAAGTGTGCAGTTCAATGAGTTTTGACAAATATATACACCCATTTAACTACCACATCAATCAAGATATAGAATATTTCCATCACCCAAGGAAATTCCCTCATGCCCTCTTCACTCAATCCTTCCCCACCTTGAAGCAACCACTGTTCTGATTTCTATCAGCACAATTTTGCTTATTCTTGAACATCATGAACAGTTAGTACTATTTTTTGTCTGACTTTGTCCATTCATAATGATTCTGAGGTTCATCCATGTTGCTATATGTATCAGTAGTTTGCTGTCTTTTTTTAATGCTGAGTATGAACATACCATAATTTATTTATCTAAAATCTCCAAATTGGGAACACCAAAATAAACAAAACTTCTGTGAACATTCTTATACACATATCATTTTTAGATATGTATTTTTATTACTCTTGGATAAATATCTAGGAGTGAAATTGGTGGTTCATAAGGTAAGAAACTGCAAGTTTTCCAACATATTTATACAATTTTACACTCCAACCAGCAACATAGGAGAGTTTCAGGCTGTTTAACATTCTCATCCACACTTGGTACTGTCTTTTAAATTTTAGCCATTTTAGTGAGAGGTATGAAATTGTAGTTTTAATTTGTATTTCTTTGAAAACTAATGATGTGCATCTTTTTGTGTGCTTATTGCCCACTCGTGGGTTCTTTTTTGATGAAGGACCCGTTCAACTCTTTTGCCCTGTTCTTTGTTAGATATATATACATATATTGCAGATATTTTCTCCCCATGTGTGGCTGTGTTTTCTTTTTCTTTTTTCTTTTTCTATCTGTACATAAATAGTATACTCTTTTTTTTTTTTCTTTTTTTGAGACAGAGTCTCACTCTGTCACCCCGGCTAGAGTGCAGTGGTGTTATCATAGCTCACTGCAACCTCAAACTCCTAGGCTCAAGTGATCCTCCTGCCTCAGCCTCTGGAGTAGCTGGGACTATGGGCATGTGCCACCATGCCCGGCTAATTTTTCTATTTTTAGTAGAGACAGGGTCTCACTCTTACTCAGGCTGGTCTTGAACTCCTGACCTCAAGTGATCCTCCCACCTTGGCCTTCCAGAGTACTGTGATTACAGGCGTGACCCACCACACCTGGCAGTATACTCTTGATTATGTAGCTATAGATACAAAGTCTTAAAAATCAGATAGGATAAAATCTTCCCTTATTGTTTCAAGATTGTTTTGATTATTCTAGATCCTTTACATTTCCTCATAAATTTTAGAATCAACTTGCCAATTTTGACCAAAAAAGTCTTTTAGGATTTTGATTGGAATTACATTGACTCTATAGATCTATTTGGGGATAACTGATATCTTAATAAGTTTCCTATCCATGATCATGGCATCTGTATCTCTCCATTTATTTTTGTCTTCTTTAATTTCTCTCAGCAATGTTTCATGAATTTCAGTGCATGTGAGTTACATATCTTTTTAAAATTTATTTCTAAGATTTAGAACTTCTGAGGCCAATTTTTCTTTTTTATTTATTCTAGCAATGCTCTCTCTATATATGTTTACAGGAATATGCTAAGCCTAAAAGATCTCAGCAAATTATATAAAAGTATAATTCTATACCTAAGTTATTGATACCTCTTTATTAACAATCAGGTTAAGTTTTTTTCTCCAGAGGATCTAGAAAAGAGAAAGGTCCACCACAGTATCATACTAAAATGGATTTGATCCTAAAAAGAAAAAATATAATGTATTTCAATTCTCAATTTTCATTTTGTCATTGCTATATTGTTTCATTCCACCTATTATTAGAAACAATTCCCAGGCTGATATTTTTTTAATGATATAATAATTAATTATGAATATTGGAAAGGAAGTATTTTATAGGTCTTGATGTTATTTTAAATAGCATTTTTATTTTGTTTTCTAAAAATTAATTTCTGAATATTAACCTTGTATGCTACTAAGTTCACTTTTTAGTCCTAGTACTTGTTTTGTAGAACCCCTAAGATTTTCTAGATCCATAATAATGTAATCTACAAATAAAGTTTTATTACTTCCTTTCAAATCTTTATAATCTTTATTGCTTTTTCTTAACTTCTTATACTGGCTAAGATATCCAATACAACATTAAATAGAAGTGGTGAGAACAGACATCCCTGATTTGTTCAATATCTTCAGAAAAAGTATATAATATTTCACTGTTAAGTATGATGTTATCTGTGGATTCTTCTTAGATACCCTTTATCAGATTAAAGAAGTTCCCTTCTTGTCTTAGTATGTTGAGTTTTTATCATCAATGGGTACTGAATTTTGTCAAATATATTTTCTACATCAGTCAAAATTATTGCTTTTTCTCTTTTATTGTTTTAACATGAAGAATTACACTGATTGATTTTGAAATGCTAAACCAACCTTACAATACTGGTAATAAACTCCACTTGGTTATAACATATACTCCACTTGGTTATAACATATTTTCTTTTTTATATATTACTGGATTAAACTTTCTAATGTTTTGTTAAGGGTATTTTCATCTCTGTTATGCAACATGTTGGTCTGTAATTTTCTTTTATTCTAATGTTCTTGACATGTTTTGGTGTCAAGAGTAATACCAACCTCATAAAACAAGTTAGGAGAAAAGCTCTTTTTAAAAAGCTTGCGCTAAAGGCACTTTCTTAAGAGGTAAAAGCAAGCAGTCATTGTCTGAATTTATATTATTGTTACTTCAATAGCTGAAAATGATTAAAACTATAGTGGTGAACAAAATCAAGATATTTTAGAAGAATGAGTATCTTAAAACTCTCGTTAGCAAACTAATTCCTCTCTTGGGGACTTAGTACTTCTCTATTATGGCTCTTTTAAGCCAATTACTTCATTTGCCAAAAGTTAAACCCTAGGCAAAAGTCAAGCAGTTTTTAACTGCTTTTCTACCAATCTGAGATTTTTAGGAGCTGGGAACCCGTGTGTTAAAATAATGATTTCTTTAAACATCATTAAACATCTTATTTCCCCTGCACTCAAATTACAATCAAGTTGGGAAAATATTCAATAAAAAGATTTTTATAGATTTAAATAACAGAAGAGATATCTCAAGGTAGTAGGAAAAAATACGGTCTTTAAAAGTTAAGATAAGGGATAAATTATTTCAAGCTTATGTAGTCAGGAAAAGCTTTACAAAGCTTTACAACTTCCTTCCTTACAACTTTTACTTCCTTACAACAGAGTCAGTTGGCAAGAGTGTGAAGACTAGAAGACACAGCATGAATTCAGAGAGAAGGAAGCAACATTATGGTTGCTCTAACATTATGGTTAAGAGCACAAATCCTGAAGCCAGACTGCCTGACTTCTGATCTTGGCTCTACCACTTACTGCTTTGTGATGTTGTATAAGTTACTTAACTTCTTTATGCTCCCATTTCCTTTAAAAATGAGAACAAAACCCATGGAACATACTTCCCCCATGATTGTAGGAATTAAATGAGTTAATATACATAAAGCTTTTAGAACAATGCCTGGCACAAAAAAAAATGTTTCAGAAATGATTTAAAAGGAGAGTTGACAAAATCTCACAAAATAATGCCTCCTGAGGCCAGATAACATAAATAAATGAAGCGAGTAGATTTGTTAAAAAACACTGTTTGACATTAAACACATAGGAATAGTCTTCCTTTCTAAAAAGCAGAATGTTCTCTTCCATTTTTCTGGAAACACATATTTCTCAGTCTAGCTTTCCATTTCCTACTTTTAATATGGACACGAGTTCAAGAAATATTCAATTTTCATATAACTCGGTTATAAGATAAAAATAATAGTACAAGCACAGCGATAACTGACAACTGATACTCAGCTTCAGATCAAGGACTAATAGAAGGAGGTAGGAACAATAGGGAACTGGAGAAGGAGGCCTCATCAAAAGGAAGACAGTGATATTCAGTCTCAGTTACTGCTACTGCACCAGCCAAATAGAACACATCTAACTGTTAAGTTTGCCCATGTGTTGCCAGTTTGCCACCTTTGATTTAGGGGCACGGTGGCTAGAATAGTGAATTTGAACTTGATCAAACTAAAGTTAGATTGAGATGTTTGCAATTAATATTATAGGGCAGTAATTACCTTTTTCAATCATGTCTCTCTACATCCTTCTACAGTGCTTTCTAGTCTGGTTTTTTTTTTTTTTTTCAGCATAGAAATCAAAAGGTTTTATCAAGGTTTACTTCCTGTAGTTTATATATTTTTAAGTGTATTAAATATGCTTTTTCAATCTATTCTCCTTCCCACCCAAAAATTCTGATAAACATCTCAATGGTTGGCATATCATTTGTTTGATCAATCTCTCTCTCTCTCTCTCTCTTTCTCTCTCTCTCTCTCTCTCCTGGTCTCTTTGCCTCCCTCCTTTCCTCATTTCTCCATCTCTCTCTTGTCCTAACACACACACACCATCACACAAAGTCACATTATAGGCAATGAGTATCAATGGTAGCATTCAAAAGTAATACTGAATGAGAACAACATGTAGGTGAAAAAGAAAAAGAAAATAATAATAATAATGAGAGTTTTCTTTCCCTGAAAATATTATAAAGAATTTTGATTCCAGAGCAAGGATCAAAAATATTAATAAATCTTACCTATACTTTAACTTTGCAGTGATAACTATTGTTAACATGTAATAGCACAGCATGTGTCCAACAGAAAACAATGTGATCCAAATAGTGTTTTAGGAGGATTAATTTGTACCATTACACAAAATATTTTCATTATATGTGTGTGTATAGATATATATGAAAAGTAAGTTCTTATTCTGCATTTGCTGTAATAGGTCTATGAACAAATTTCAATGGCCCCTATATGTTTTTCTATAATCCTTTCCCTCTCATGTTTCAGATTTTCAAGCCAATAGAGCTTGAAGACCAGAACCAGGTAACTTTTAACAAACTAATTGAACTTCTGAGTTATCTTCCAGAAATGGCAGAATTTCTGCATGACAAAGGAGTTGAGATGCTGAAAGCCCCTGGATATACATCTTAACACCAAGGTCCCTCAATAACCTGCTCCAATACACAAAGTCCCTCCTTAATTTCAACAAAACCTGCCCCAAGGAATGTAGCACCTCATTAAAAGCCCATAGGCTCCATTAGTAGGAGATAGAGTTGAGGCCACTTCCCCTATTCTCCCAACTGATGTCATTTGCATTAAAAATTCCTTTCTCCTTTGGCAATCTTTATTGGCCTACTGTGCAGCAAGAGTAACAGGACCAGGCTGGAAACTCCTTGAGGTTTCAGTTACAATACCATCACTCTTAAGAAGTTTAAACATTAATAATAGCAAAATTGCTTGAATACCAAAAAGAAAATATCATTATTCTCAAAAGTCCAAGAATACTTGAAACCAATGGATCACATCACCATTTTAAGTACAAATATTTTAATGGCCATGAAAAAAATATCAGATAAATTTAAGCCCCAGTACACAAAATCAGGCCATCATTTTTTATGCCTCACATTAAGGACAAATTCATTTACATGTTAATTTCCATGAATTTTTATAAAAATATGTTAGCTAAAATCTCAAGCAGGACAGAATGAATTCAGCAATAATTTAAGTGACAATATTTATAAATTTTAGCAGTGTAATACTCTCTCCTCAAAAGGTTAAAGATGAATGCCTACCAAAAACACATACCCATTTCTTTAAGAGTCTCATGCTCTACCAACTAAGATAGCCCAGTGCCAATACCCATTTATTTAGATTTTAATTAATGCAAATGAACTCAAATTGAGAGACATTTTACAACATGACTGGCCTTCTCAAAAGAGTCAAGTCATAAAGAACAAAGAAAAGTTGAGGAACATTTAGAATAAAAGACTAAACGGATTGACAAGTAAACATAATGCAGGATCATAGATTGAATCAGATAGAAAGTTTAAAGTACTCTAACATACAACCAGAAATATCTGAGTATAGATTGTATAAGAATATGATAAAGAGTATTTTATCAATGTTGAATTTCCTGAATTTAAGAATTTCACTGTGGTTTCATAGAATAGGAGTTGGTAAACTTTTTCTATAAAGGGCCAGATAATAACTATTTTAGGCATTGAGGGCCATATATAGTCTCTGCCAAATATTCTTCATTGTTTTTATAACCCTTAAAAAGGTAAAAAAACATTCTTAGCTCAAGAGTTGTACAAAAACAGGCTGAGGGCTGAATATGGCCCACTAGCCATAGTCTGCCAACCCCTAATATAGACAAAGTCTTTGTTCCTAGGAAATACACAATGAAGCATGTTAGGGTAAAGGGCCATGATGTCTGTAACTTACCCTCAAGTGATTCAGCAAAAATAATAATAATAACTTATGTGACAGAGAAATAAGACATGGCAAAAGGTTCACAATTGGTAAAAGTAGGTGAAAGGTGAAGGGAATTCACTGTCCTATGCTTGCAACTTTGCTTTAAATTTGTTTTCCAAAATAAAAAGATGATGTTCAGAAAAAACCAAAAGCCATGGATGCTCCTAGGAGGTTCGAACCCAGAAGCCTCAGTGTGTAGGCATAGGGTATCGTTCCAGTGGCTCAGACAGAGAAGAATGAAAAGTCTCATAAAGCAAAAGGTACTCTGCCATTGAGGTCATTTGAATACATACCCGTGGGTCCAAAGGTATCTAGATTCTCCTGTCATCACTAGCAGACTCCGACGAGGCAGCATAACTGGCACTGTGACACCATCTGGGTGCTTAAAATCCATGACAATCTTAAAGCAAAAACAAAAGCATAAAGATCAATCCAAAATTTCATGTATTCCAAGGATGAGAATGATTAACAGAGTCTGGCTATTTTTCTAAGTGAACAGATTAAAATATGATAATGCTTGTAGAACAGTGTAGTACAATGGGTCTCAAACTTCAGTGTGCATGAGAATCAATTGAATGACAAAAAAACACTTTATCCACAGAGATTCAGACTCAGCAGGTCTGTAGTGAGGTTCACACAACTGAATTTCTAAGAATCACTCCAAGAAATTATGAGGCAGGTGGTCTGAGGCTCACGTCATGGAAAAACAGTTAGGGTAGTGGTCAAACACAGGAACTTTGAGGCTGAAACAGTCATATTGTGGCTCTTCCATTTAGTAGCCATGTGACCCAGGAGAAGCCATTTAACCCCTGTGCCTTGGTTTTCCCAACTCTTATAGACTTGTTACATGAATTAAAAATATGAATATAAATTGTAGTACCTGACACATAGTAAATACATAAAAAGTAGCTATCATTTATTATTTATAGAATGTTAATAATTAATACTCCAAGAAGAAATAACTATTAAATGCAGACTCTCATATAATCCATTTTGTACCTTTAAAGTCATACAACATACTGGAATTAGAGGCTGATTAATAAGAGATAATAAAAGAGGACAGGAACATTTTCTACAACTTTTCCTAAATTATGCTTAAGTATTATTCTGAATAGCAACCTGTAAAGATAAAATACCCAAGAGAATGTTTATGTCCTAGGAACTCATCAAACACCAAAGACTTCGGTATAAAGATAGCAACAACTGACAAATGTGAATTTACAAGAAATATCACAGGGCTGAAAATATTTTTTAAAGTAAATCAATCCATTTGAAAAATAAATATGACAACCAAGTAAAAGTGGGATGAACAGAATTTAGCATAGTACATTCCTTAAAGGTAAACTTAGCACAGTTCCTAGCACAAAGTTAGCATTGAATAATATTAGCTGTTATTATTAATAATAATATTGGGTCAAATTAGATAAAACATAAAAATTCTCTACATACTTGAGAAAGTTATACAGATCTAAGCTGGTTTTTTCCCTTTCTAACCTATCCTTCCAATTTAAGTGTAGAAAGTAAAGCAAGATGATAAAATATAATTTCCCAAAAGTTATCTGTTCCAGATATCCACATATAATTTCATATACTCATACTCTAAAAGAATTATACATCTAAACACTGCAGATTAATTCTGGAGATTTTAGAGATGAAGTATACAGATATCTGCAACTTTCATAAAATGTCTAAATAAGAGAAGATGGACTAATAGAAGGATGAAGAGATGGATATATATATGATGAAGCAAGTGTATTAAAATGTTAATTGTAGAATCTAGGTAGTGGATATATAGGTATTTACTGTACAATTCAAATTTTCTATATGAAAATTTTCATAATAAATTGCTGGGGAGAAGGCGGGTAGGAGAAAAAGCCACTGTGGCCCACTTTTAAACCAATGTACATAGGTTTCGATTTTCCTTTTGTTTTAGAGACAGGGTGTCGCTCTGATGCCCAGGCTAGAGTGTAGCAGTGGTGCCATCATAGCTCACTGAAGCCACCTCCAACACCTGGGCTCAAACCTCTGTAGCTGGGACTACAGGCATATGTCATAGTGTCTAGCTAATTTTTTCTATTTTTGTAGACATGGAGTCTCACTATGTTGCCCAAGCTGGTCTTAAACTCCTGGCCTCAAACAACCCTCTCACTTCGGTAATCCCAAAGTGCTGGTATTACAGGAATGGGTCACTGTGCCCAGTCCTCAATTTCCTTAACAGAAGCAAAAGTCTACATACAGGAAAGAATAATGAGCATATTTATTACTTTATTAGAAACAATCATCTGTGGCTTAAAGGAAATCCATGTCCAAATGAAAACTGCCATGATAAGAAAATATTCTAGAAGACTAGACTCTAATGCATTCATCAAACAAACACTTATTAACCATTGTCTGATATATCAAAGGCTACAATAGTGAATAAGTGGGCTCTCTGCCCACCAGGAAGTTACAGTTTCTGGCTAATAGTCGATATATTTTACAAATGCACAATACACATGTATTTGTGAAATTCAAACACATTCCCTCCTATCAACAGAGTAATGATTTTCAAATAGAAAAATTTCAGTTTAAAGAATTAGAACAGATAAGAGATGTATTAAGATGACACGAATTTGGAAACGCTCATCTTGACATACACAAACCAACATTCAAAGAAGAAAAATGTGCAACCAAACAAGCCCAATGTTATGAGAAGTGTGTTAAAACACATACAGAATGCTTACTGATGATCATTATTGACCTCTTTCCTTCCTGCTGCATCTGTTGAGCACCTACTTTGTAAACCATTATGTTAAGGACAAGTAACAATTGGGTCAATTAACTCACCTCAAGTTGTGTATCAAAATAACAAAGCTATTTTTTATACTCAATAAAAATTTATTTTATGACTTTGTACTAGACACAGTGCCAGGCATGAGAATACAAAAAGAACTAAAGCTTTCAAATATATACTGTGGCCATTATTTCTCTAATAATTGTTCTTAAAAATGATTAGACAAAATAATAATAAATCTAATAAGCACAAATCCTCTACTTGTAAACTAAAAGAATTTCTCAATAAAAAAATAATGACATATACTTTAAACATACATTTTTAATGAGTGAAATATAGAAAAGTATAGAGAAAAAATAAAATATCTAACTCTCCTGAAATAACATTCACTATTAAAATTCAGATCTACCTTTATCCAGTAAAATTTAATATTCTTTTTTGCTTAGAGACAGGTTCTTGCTATATTGCCCAGGGTAGACTTGAACTCCTAGGCTCTAAAGATCCTTCCACCTTAGCCTCCTGAGTAGCTGGGACTACAGGTATGCACTGCACCGCAGCCGAAATTTTTATGTAATTGAACACATATTTTTTATGAAATATGGCATCTTGGTATTTTCACATTATACTGTATAATAAACACTACTCATATCTGAAATATCATTTTTAATGGCTCCAAAATATTACGTCATATGGCTGTACCAAAACAGTAACGAGTACTAAGTCAGAGTAAGGAAAGTGTCTTCGAGGTTTTCCGGCTCCTCCCCCTACAAGGTGGCCTCAGTAGAAGTGCCTGAAGTGGACCTCAGACAAAGGCCTCAGATAAAGAGACCTGAGAATGAAGGTGCCTGGGCTAGGAATGCCAACAGGCATAAGAGCATAACCAGCCAGGGAGGCTTGACAACGTTATTGCAACTCAGAAACAGACCGTCATGAACTGGCGTGTGTGATGAATTCTAGGGTGGGGAGGGCTTTCCCCACAAGGAAGAGCTAGGGAAAGCCTTTGTAATTGCCTATGGTCAGGCCTAAAAAATCATAAGATTTCAGTCTAGAGCTCCTTGTAACCAATAGCTCCTTTTCCTTCCAGTCCTTCCTTACTCTTCAGTAAGCAGAAGGTAGATAAGTGTTAATAGAATGTGTACGTATCAAGAAGTGAAACAGAAATGGTTACAGTTGAGTTAGTTTTGTGCAGCATTTCCACTATTCAGCGTAAAAATGATCACACAAAATTGTACAAGCACAAATACAAATTAAGTTTCGTGATTTCTCATATGAGTTAAGTGTTCTTACATTTGCATTTAAAACTAGTATCATGAAATATAAAGTGACAGGATTCGTATCAGTATCTTCAAAATTTAGATTTCTTTACTAAGAATGACATTAAATTGCAAATAACAAACACTTTGACAAGATGAGACAAGACCACAGAAGAAAGGAAAAAGCTTTATATTTTAGTACGTTTAATAATACATTTTCTAGCTTTCTGAAACAAGAAACCTACATTTTTATTTTGAACTGGGCCTTAATATTGAAATAGCTGGCCCTAAAAGTTTTGCATTTTTGTTATTCTGTCAATATATTGTTTGTGCTTACAAAAGACAAAAATAAAGTCTCTTTCTTTGTAGGCTACAAAGCCCCCATCCTAATCAGACAAATATTTACCCCTATTTTCTTACAAATTTTCATGTTATTCTTTTTTTTTTTGAGACAGTCTTGGCTTTATTGCCCAGGCTAGAGTGAGTGCTGAGGCATCAGCTCTTGCTCACAGCAACCTCAAACTCCTGGGCTCAAGCCGATCCTCCGCCTCACCTCCCGAGTAGCTGGGACTACAGGAATGTGCCACCATGCCCGGCTAATTTTTTTGTATGGATTGGTTGGCAATTAATTTCTTCTAATTTATAGTAGAGACGGGGTCTCACTCTTGCTCAGGCTGGTTTGAACTCCTGAAGCTCGAGCAATCCGCCCGCCTCGGCCTCCCAGAGTGCTAGGATTACAGGCGTGAGCCACCATGCCGTCCTCCATGTTATTCTTTACAGTAAAGTCTTTACACTTCTGAAGTTTATTTGGTTATATATTTGACAATATAGAGTTTTTTAAATTTAATGATATAGTTTTTATTAAAATTAAATGTAGATTTCCTATAAAACTTAAATTTCTCTTAGAATATTCCATCATCAAAATAAAATATCTTCAGTATCTTCATATTTAAGTATCTGTACCTTAACTAAATGTTTGTTAAAAGACAAAAAGAAAAAAAAAGGACTTTAAAAAATTCACTAAGGATTCACAATCAATAATGTCCCCCTGCAACTGCTGAATCATTCTGCCATGTGACAGTTTTGCTCCACAGGAGCTTTTTTCCAATTATTCTTTCAGTTTTACCTATTTTCTCTATTTTCTGAGATGACAGAGTCAATAAAGATCAAGTCCCCAGCAAACTCATGGGACATGACTGAGGATAATGTTCAGTTCAAAGCAAACAAACAAAAGCCACAGACATTCTGATCTTATACAACCTTTACACATCCAAAATACAATAGAATGAAGACCCAACAGAGTTATCACTCTGTCACCCAAGAAAAGATAAGATGGGTGACAGGAAGGAATAAATAGATCTCCATGTTAGCTAA